ACGAAAATGTAATTAAAAATACATAAGCATTTTCAGGTAGAAAATCAGCATTTTATATAGAAATTCACAAAAATAAGAAATGTATACCTCTTATGGCTGGCATTGTAGAACTAGGTGGAAAAAATAGTGACAACAAATGTAAATACAATTTATATAGATTAAAAGGTAATATATATAATATTGATTGCAATTATTAGATTAAAAGATCCACCAATTATGATCAACAGGAAAGCCCTCTGAAGGCATGTTGTGGTTTGAAAAAAAGTTGAGGATGGGGTCCAGACAGTTAAATCAGGAGAGACTTCATTTTGTTTAAAGAACATTTATTGACACATGTCATATGATAAATGTTAAGTCTTTGGCGATTAGACCCCGATCCTGAAATCTTATATCTAAAGGGGGAAATGCAGCCGTGAGCATAGGGAACCTCCCCGGGGTCTAGACACTGGTGATGATGATGAAGATCTGGATTTGATGAGGAGATGGGATGAAGAGGAGGTGTGATGAGGTCTTTGGATTAGCTCTCCTGGCTCTGGATATGATGAACGGAGGTGGGTGGAGAAGAGGTGGATGGGGAGGAGGTGGATGGGGAGGAGGCGGGCGGCAGCATGAACACCTGAAATCACAGCTGACTGCAGGAGAGAGGAGAACCATTTTAAAGTTTGGCTGCAGCTCGGTGTTTGGCTGCTGGAGAATGAGGTGAATGTAATAGGTTAAAGAGAACGCCTGTGATGAGCTGATTATAAGCAGCTGCGGAGTGAATGTATACATACCCAGTCTTACTCTTGAGTTACCCACTCTTACTCTTGAGTTGTTTTACTCATCTTCCCCAGCCTCACCAGCCTCACCCAGCTGTGGTGTGTCTGTTCTCTTTCTTCTCAATTTTGGATGTGGCCCAGGAGGAAGCGCAGCCACTTCAAGACACTGGTACGGGCCTACGTGCTGACGACACGACCGTCATCGGCCAGATCACAGACGGCGAAGAGACGGCGTACAGAGAGGAGGTCGAAAACCTGACATCTTGGTGCCAGGATAACAACCTCCATCTCAACGTCAGCAAAACCAAGGAGCTGATTGTGGACTACAGGAAGCAGCAGGGAGAGGGACACGCCCCCATCGCCATCAATGGGACTACGGTGGAGAGTCAGCAGCTTCAGGTTCCTCTGTGTCCATCACGGACACGGCTGCATCACGGCCTGGTACGGCAGCTGCACCGCCCTTAATCGTAAGGCTTTACAGAGGGTGGTGAAAACTGCACAGAACATCACCAGGACGGAGCTGCCACCCATGGAGGAGCTTTACTCCCAGCGGCTCAGGAAGAAAGCCCTCAGTTTATGTTAATGTTAGAAATGTTTTGGCACATTTGTTCCTATTCTGCTAATGGTATATTGCAGGATATTTAAGTTTCCCATGTACTTTTTAAATTAATAATAGTATGTTCATCTTGATGTTTAACTTGTAATATTGTAATCATCTTAGTTAGAAATGCTGTTTCCACCCCAACCTCTGCTGCTGAATGATTTTATATATTGTTACTAAAAGTGCTTGTCTTTGATATTATAATGATTACACCAGAAAGTCACTCTTTGTGAGATTTATTTTTTCACATTTTTCCCAGCCACAAGATGATTTCATTCATTGGAGGCCTCAAAGCTGGGTGAAGGTATTGATGCACGGATCAATGCAATCCTTTACAACAGCATTCCACTATGGTTGGGGATGTCTGTAAAAAAAGGAGAAATAATCTTAAACAAAACAAGTGTCGCAATATAGGGAAACAAACTGTGACAAAAACATATCAATTAGTTCAGAATCAGAATACATTTACATTATTACAGCAGAAAAGAGCCAAAGACAGCCTAATGTTACTTAAAGTATGCATACAAAAAGTATTAAAGATTAAAAACAAGAAATTATAATAAAAACAGTTACACATTTTACAAAATACACATCCTGTAACAGTTTGGAGGATTTAGCAGCCAGGTATATTACACAGTTTTAGCGGCATATATATATATATATACACATGGTTGGTATTTAACAACAAGGGGTGTTGTACTGTGTGATATTGGTATTTATGGAAACATTTTACACCTTTCCTTCAAGTATTATACGTTGTAGTTACTTGTTGGGTACTTAACATGAATAATCACAGTTACTATCCTTTCACTCCATCACATTTCAAAGAGAAATAGGCTATTGTTATTTTAACTCCACCACAGTAATCCATCATCAGCTTTACTTTTTAGATAAAGATTTAAATCACAATTGATCATAACTCAAAATACATATATTTTTATATATTACCAAGTGGTTTCATGTAGGCTACAACCCACACAAGTTTCATGCTAAATTAAGCTCTGTTGCTTGGATATCACTAGATCCTGTTACATCAGCGTAATATAAAAGTACATAACGACTGATGTGTAAATTAGCATAATTACTAGCTAGCCGCTAGCTGCTAACTGCCGCCTCGTCGTTAATATCAAATCCATCATAACAACCCATTACCATGCTGTCATGAACGCGCGGTGCTGTTACGTGTACGCAAATTGACGTGCTTGATGTGAGCGAGCATTTTGGGGGGCATGTTTAAAGTTGCGCATGCGCTATGAGCGCACATACGGGTACTTCTCAGGCATGCCGGGTAATCTGTGACGTTTCGCTCTCTCAAAAGTTGGGCCATTTTGTCATCATGCGCGATTGAGCAACTCTCATAGGAATGAATGAGGCCCCGCCTCCCACGCTGTATCCAGTTCTTATTATACATCCATGGCATGAACCGATCACGACCCTCGCACTTTAAACTGTCCAAAATAAGACGCTTCATCTGTAGTTCCCAAAATTAAGTGCGAATGGGAAGTGGACATAGCTGATTGAAAAAAGTATGATTGGTTTTGACTAGGGCTGCAAGATATGTGAAAATTATGCAAAATGTTTTTGAATATCTTGATAATCTGGAGAATTAAGGAAAAACTGTAAATACACCCTTGCTAACTTATTTCCTATATTGCAGTATGTCAACTGCCTGTTCCTACTCCAAGGTCAATCTGTGAATGCTCTGATGACGTCACAGTTACTCCTTGGAAGCATATTTCTGTGGTCACCATCAACGGTATGTGGTCATTTTCAGACAACACCCAAATGTCATGTCAAATAGCTAATATATCATATATGCACATCTATGTATAAAATACAATATGTTAAGGCAAACTCACAGTTTGATTACCGAAATACCTTTACTTTTGTTCACAGGACGATACAATGTCTACTTGCCTCGGAAATCCTGTCCATCCTGCTCTGCAGAATGGACTCCTGAGGTTAAAGACCTGCTTTTGTATCGGTACTGGCCAGCTAGCACCAGCTGCCAGACGCTTTACAAATATGATGTGTTCACCTCATTCGAGCACATGAAGGTGACAGCACCAGCCATGTCCAGGCAGGCATTTCTGAAAATGTTGGAGCACAGATCTGTTCAAGCTGGACGGGTAAATCTGCCTGAATCACACGGAAACATACAAAAAACAATATCATATTACTGTATACCATATAATTAATTGTTGGCATTGCTTTCAAAACAATTACTAATCCACTTTTTTTAAATCAATATACAGACAGGTAGTATCTGTACTGATACATTTCAGCGAAGCTTCTTCGAGTTTTGCTTCTGTCAGTACAAACAAGAGGATATGTGCCAGGTCCATCACTTTGTTTGTCCAGCATGTTCTCCAGACATGTTGGCTGTCTGCTGTGATGGAAACCGCAAGCATTACCGGTTTTCCAAGTCAAAAGGGTAGGTATAGGTATTAATGAAAATTATAAAGAACACACCGCTAATACAAATACATTTTTCTTATTATGATAGTTGCAGTTACACCTGTGGTGTTCTTTTTTATATATGTCAAAACTTGTGTGTAATAAACTGACTTTATAGGGAAATGACAGTGCCGTCTGTGGTACTGCCAAATTCACCGCTGGCAGAGAGATGTCAAAAAAGTCTGGTGCCCAGATAGACGAGGAGGGCATTCAAGTGACAGTTTGCAGGTATGTATTTGTAAGTGTGTCTGTGTGTGTATATGTGTTTGGTTCTTGAGTCTGGTCTCATTATTTCAGTTTTAATAGCAGTCTAAGTCTTTGTAAGAATTGGAAGCATTAAACACTTTTGATTGTGGAGCAGAATTTATCCATCATTTGTAGCATCCAAGTGTTATTTTTTGTTATAGCCACCTAGATGACAGAGATGAGTGCTTAAGCCAGGCCTTGCTGTGTCAGTTTATTATTAACAACTAGATTTTCTTCTGATTAATCAGACATGGGTTTCTCTTACGAGGACTGAACCACTTCCGTGGAGAAATATACGCTTACCCAATGTTTCTCCAAAAAGAGATGTCCAAGACGGCAAATGTTGACTTCTTCTGTATGGATGTAACATGCAGGTAATCCTCACTGTCATATTGCACATCCACAACAATGTTTAAAATGGCCTATGCCTCAGCAGTCATTTTAGATTATATTGATATTGTTGTCATGTCAATTAAAAGTGTATCTTTGTAACACTCAATCACAAAATGCTGCTCCTGCTTCTTAGGTACTGGCCATACCTTAAAGGTGGGGTAGGTAAGTTTGAGAAACCGGCTCGAGATACACTTTTTGTTATATTCCATGGAATGCTCTTAACATCCCGATAGCAATAAATATCTTAAGTGCTTTGACAAAAAATCCATAAAAAAAATGTCATCTGTGGAAGCTGTAGTACTGTAAAAAGTATGACCAATCATTTTAGCCGGCGCGGCTAAAATAACTGGATGGCCTACCTGCCTGTCAGCCTTCCATCGGGGCACAAACTTATCTTGTGCCCTCATTGGTCATGTGCGCGTTCGTGTGTGTTGGAGGAGGGGCTCTGTAAGGAAGTGGCAGATTTTTTCCGGCTGTGTATTTTCAAATTCTAGCGATCTCGAGCTGGTTTCTCCAAAATTACCTACCCCACCTTTAACAAAATAGCCGAGGGATTACCAGAGCTTCTTCCGTTGACAGAAATGAGGCCATTTCTTAGCGTGATGCATGCTAAAGCCCATACAGCAAAATGCGAGGTACATAACATCTTTAATGCAAAGGATTTTTAAATGTTGTGCATGGCATGCCTTATTGGATATCAAAAACTTCTAAAGAAATGCTACATAACACTACTTGCGCTGTGTTGCAGGTGAGATGGGGTGGCAGAAGTCAGGATGGAGCAGGAAACACAGTGGGAGAGGAAGTAGAGCAGGTATGTTATTAATGGCATTATTGTAACTGTATGGATACAAGAAGTCTTAATAGAAAGCAGTAAAAATATGTATGTGTCATCTCAGTGACAAGCCTGTTGATTAGTTTAAAGCAGGGGTGGGGAACCTTTTTCCTCTCAAGGGCCATTTCAATTTTTTCAACATCCTCCGAGGGCCGTACAAATTATTGACCTCTGCTTAAAAATACTAAAATCACAGCCCATTCATTTTGCCTTTCTTTCATGCTGTGCAAAGAAAAAGCAACCTCTTAATCCAGATATCTTACCATGACTCGTGCATGCATGCACGTGCACCAAATGGTCTCGCCGGAGGTTCCCCACCCCTGGTTTAAAGCATATCCTTTATGTCTGAGTTCAAATGAAAGATAGGCAGTTCATATGTTCAGCAACACTAAATGCATGCATATTGTAGGAAGTCAGTACACAAGTTTTCTCTCTCTTTAAACGATTGGGTTTAGTCATGTCTATCAGGTTTCTCACTCAGTATTGCCTTTTTGATGTGAATACTTACCTTTTTGTTTGTGTATATATTTTTGTCTTTTTTAGGAAGAGTGAACATGCTCACTCAACAGGCCATGGGTTGGAACAGAAGGAAGAGGGACAACCTTCATCAAGTTTTAGCCCACAGATATGTCAAAGTAAGGGCAAATTACAATTGTCTTCTCATCTGACATTACATATTTATGAAGGATGTCTGCAATGTAACCTCATAGCTATATACATTATGTTCTCCCTTATCCACACTTCCTCTTGCAAGTCAGATGGTGTCATGTAATGTTTCAACTGTTCTTCTGAAGGTCTTGTACTGAAAACTGGTGTTCTTTGCATTATGGTGTTGCATGGCACTTTTGCTCTGACATTTTCTTTTTTTTGTAAAGATCACAGAGAGTGCAAAGGTGGAAGCTGCCAGCTTCAGCGACTTCAAAAAGGAGCACAACCTTGATCAGGAGACCATACAGCAGTGGGTGTATGATGTCAGGCAATGGGCGGTCACAGGTAAGACATACCACAGGTTTTCCATATATACATTTGTTAATTACTGTAAGTTTAGACACACAATATAAGTTGGCTATATGTTGAAACTGAGACTGTCAATGATTGTATCTCTTCTTCAATTGTTTGTTTGCAACTATTTAGAGAGAGTCTACGCCCCAGGGTGTACTGAAGGACTGAGGGTGGATATTGAGAACATTACCGTCACTCTTTTGCGCAGGAAGCAAGATCTGTATCGTCAGCATGGTTTGTTGTCAAACGTAGTTATTGAAATTGCCTTTCAAAAACAACAAAAACATTCTGGCACCATGACACAGTTTTGTTTCCGTTTCCCTTTGCAGATAGCAACCAGGCAAGGCAAACAAAGAGGAAGAGAATGACAGAGCTGAAGAAGAAGCTTCGCGAAAAAGTTGTGCAATACAACACCGGAGTGCAGGAAGAACAGATTGACGAGGAGTTGGCTTGCAGTCTGACAGAGGGCTACATCCTACCATGGGAGAGGCATGAACATGGTAGGATAATTGCTAGTTTGGCTTGTTGTTTTTTTAGTCTATACCAAAATATGACAGTTTATCGTGGGGCAGAAAAAGCAATGGTGATACCTGCAAATATATAATATTTGTTATTTGTTTACATTATAGAGAACCAATGCTATCGCTACAAAGATTTGTGTCTCAGAAATAAAAATCATTCTGTAATAATATAATATATGAATAAATATTCCTTGTCCACTACTCCATTCCTTTCTTCAACCTAAAGGCAACACCTTCAGGTTGAAGAGGTCTGTCTTTGACCAGGTAATGCTGATCAAACGTTTGGAGGAGGAGCAGAGCATCCTGGTGAAAGAGATGTCGCAGCACATCATGTTCCTTCTGAAGGAAGTGCAAGAAGTGGAAGCACTCAGAGGACAGACTTTGGAGGGCATCAAAACCAGCAGCATGTCTGAGATCTTAAAATTTGAATATTTTCATCCACTCTTCAACACATTGCATGTCTTACATAAGTAGAACACATCTGTCACTGTGTCAGGCCGAAGTGAAATAGTAAATTACTGAAACTATTCATTATCAAGATCATAATCGATTATTTTCTGTCTATTGACAAATTGTTAAGCACTATATCAAACATTAATCAACATGTCCCTTTTGGCACCCAATATATAGTAACATCCTTCAGTTTAAGATGGATTTACCTAATTTGGAGTGTTTTTACATATGCAGCATTGTACAATGCAAAGAGATTTGCAATTGTCATGGTTTGTTTACATTGAGCCCTTTTGCTGTGTGATTATTCCTCTACAGATTTTGGTGACCTGACAGAGGATGCTGCACATGGGCTCAAGAGTGTCCTCAGTCGGAGGTGGCACTTCCTCAAAAGCCAACACAAACAAGGCTGTACATGCGTACAGTGGTATAGCCGCTATGAAATGCCATGATCTTCAATTACAGCAGGACATTGAGGAGTCGGATGACAATGACTACACTAGCCCTGAGTCTGAGGAAGAAGACCTGTAAAGGTTTCTGCCAAGCAAAACAGAGGCACTGGAGAGCTCTTTCACAAGCGACGTGTCATGTCCACACGCTGGCGCACGCCATAATAATGACAAAACACATTTAAAACACACTTAAAGCCATACAAAATAAAGACATTATAAAACACTATATATGAAACTATGCACTTGTTTCGCCCGACTGAGTTCATAGTAATGTGAAAATGTGTTTATATTTTGTACTTCCGTTTATTTAAAGCGCTTTGACTTGCTGATGTGTATGAAAATAACTTGCCTTGCCTTTATATTAAACTGCCTCTTATTACTCAAACAAGTGCTATACAATGGTTGTTTTCTTGTCACTGTATTTTGTCATTCGTTGATTATGAACTATTAATGTGAATACATTGTAAATAGAGTTCATACAATAACTGTTACGACTGAATAAACGGGTTTGAACTCAAATGCACGACTCACACAGGTTTTAACAAAAAAGGTTTATTCAAACCAAAGCTCTACTACAGAGGTCAAAAAACTAAATAACTCTTAACGAGGAAAAACAGTTTCAAAACAAAGTCACTCTTAATGAGGAAAAACACTAACAAAACAAAATCACTTCAATGAGGAAAAAACACTAGGAGCATGGATAACTACATTCTCAGAAAACAAGACGTGGCTCAAAGCTCTGCTTGGGATTTTACCTGGCAAGATACACTGGTGGTTAGTCACAGGAAACGAAACGAACTGGCACAGGACAAAGGGAGACGAGGACAATAAATACACCAGGTAATGGGGAACAGGTGGAAACAATCAGGGGCGGGGTCGACAATCACAGGTGTGGGAGACACACAAGGAAGGGAGGTCAGAGTATCTGAAACGAGAGTGAAGGTTACTATTAAAAGATAAAGGGGAAAATCACTAGACAAAGACAAAAACACTAAACTAAACTAACATAATTTGCCAGAGATGACAATAACATAATCCTTTATTAGTAACATGTGCATAATGCAGTGTAAATACCAACATTACATTACATTTCATTTCATTTAGCTGACACTTTTATCCAAAGCGACTTACAATTACCAATTACAGGGACATTCTCCCTGGAGTAACTAAGGGCTAAGTGCCTTACTCAAGGGCACACTAGTGGTGGTGTTCCAGGCGGGATTTGAACTCACAATCTTCCGATCTTCAGCCCACCTCACTATCGAAGGGTACCCTCATCATCACTCAATTATACGAAATCGTGACTTTATAAACAAAAACAGACCTCAAAACATGTGGCGGCGCTAGGTAGCTAAAAATGCTAACATGGTTTACCTTGTCTCGTAGTCTGCTCAAACGTGGTCTTCAATGGCATTAAAACGATAAAAACGCTGTTGAAGTTAATCCATAGGTTAATCCAATGTGTCTGTGTCCCTTTGAAATGATTTCTGATAATCCATGAGCAATAAAACAGCTTTTCCGTTTCTAGATGTCAGAGCTAGAGTGTAGGTTCGCTCTGATGCAAAACTACATGCGCGAAGCCCCCACCTTTTTGTTGTGCCATGTTAGTGAGGGGAGATTCCCCTTCGATTCTATTGGCTCTAACGGTCATAAAGAGATGTCAATCACCAAAATCGACCAATGGGTTCCAGAGAAACGGTAAAACCCCCATTTCCACCCAAATCACCTCAGAGGTGGAGTTTCTTTTGCTAAACCTCTCTAAAAAGGTCAAATGTCACTTGTTTTGCATCAATCTTGATACAGGGTACTTATTATATGTTGTACTTTGGATTCCTAAAGCTTTTAGTCTACTAACCCATCATCCAAGGGTAGTCTTCACTATAAGTAAAAAAGAATTTTTGGACGGACACTATAATTTACAGTTTTTTACTATGTTCAATCTGAATTTTCTTTAACATAAAAAACATCTATATTGTTCTGACTCTTCTACATCCAACTCACAGGTTTATCATTACTTTGAGGAAAAAGATTATTAATTTAACCCTTTTAGAAGGGAAGATATGGTCATTTGTTCTGGGAATGTCATTTTCGAGCCTGAGACCTGAAAAACAGGCTCAGGGCTAAACAGGTTAAAACATATAATTAATAAATGGGTGAAAATTGCTTGTGTCCATAATGGGCAGCATTAATATACCCACATGACAGCTCAGGTCAGAAGAGCTTTATTTAACAGCTGGTCTTATGTCTGTGACTCCTCCTGCTGTTCATTGATAAGCCTTGAAACATGCACTTGTCAAGGTTCAGAGGCACATTTTGCAAATATGGCAGTAACCATCGAGATCACTACAGTATCTTCTTGATATTTTCATCTATATTTCTATCATTGACCTTATATTTTGTATGTACTCTTAATATTTGTATGTTTTCATCAAAAATTATAACATAATTCAAAAAAAGAATTCAATAACGTGCTTTAACCACTAGGCGGTGCGGGTTAAAAAACGTTCAACTTTAAAGTGTTAACAATATACTGCTGTTTCCAGTTTAGTTTATGATGGATGTATTTTGTTATCCACACATATATTGTTTTGATATTTGTAACACCAATCTTTGGAAAAAGTGTGTTTGGTGTCTGAAATAAATTAGGGTTATGCAGACCGGCTCCATTTCCACGGCAACGGTGGCTGAGGATCATGGGTAATCTAGCCTTCCGCTGTCCAAAAAGACCACAAAAAACCGAGTAGAGAACCTTTGAAGCCCCTGTACTGGTCTTTAGAAGTTATCTACTGGCACTTCAGCATAGCTTAGTTAACTGGTGAAAGAATGATAACACTAAATTAAAATAGCCTACAAACAGTGTATTCTCAAAGGATTGAAGCATTGGCTACTTATTTCTTGATGTTTTGTGCATTAAGCATTCTGTTATTAATGTTTTCAATAATGTACTATCATCTCAAGGACCCCTTGTGGACGGCTTCTGTGTATTTCAATCAGGAGAGACTTCATTTTGTTTAAAGAACTTTTATTGACACATGCCATACGATAAATGTTAAGTCTTTGGCGATTAGACCCCGATCCTGAAATGGTATATCTAAAGGGGGAAATGCAGCCGTGAGCATATAGGGAACCCCCACCGGGGTCGAGACACTGATGATGATGAAGATCTGGATTTGATGAGGAGGTGGGATGAAGAGGAGGTGTGATGAGGTCTTTGGATTAGCTCTCCTGGCACTGGATATGATGAAAGGAGGTGGATGGGGAGGAGGTGGTCGGCAGCATAAAAACCTGAAATAACAGCTGACTGCCATTTTAAAGTTTGGCTGCAGCACGGTGATTGGCTGCTGGAGAATGAGGTGAAATGTAATAGGTTAAAGAGAACGCCTGTGATGAGCTGATTATATGCAGCTGCAGAGTGAATGTATATATATATCCCCAGTCTTCCTGAAAGAACCTGCGCTGAGCTTCATTTTACATCAATATGCAATTCACCTGTGAAATGAATTGCCAGTGGCCATAAAACAATGCATACAGGGATCCTTCAAGTCAAAACATGTTAAGTCTGTTGCAGTTGTTAAACTGTTGCACTTTATTAAATCCATACAAACACCAAAACATTTATTGATTTGTTTGGCGATGGGATTTGCATGGGGTGGGAATCAGGCTGCTTGCCAGGATGGAGGCCAGAGGCCTGTACTATGAAGCCGGTTCAACATAACCTGGATATGTTTGAGTTAGCCGGTTGGCCTAATCCAAAACATACGGGCTCTCGCTAAACGGTCCTACGACCAGAGGTGGGACCAAGTCATTGTTTTGCAAGTCCAAGTCAAGTCTCAAGTCTTTGCGCTCAAGTCCGAGTCAAGTCTCAAGTCTTTGCGCTCAAGTCCGAGTCAAGTCTCAAGTCTTTGCGCTCAAGTCCGAGTCAAGTCTCAAGTCAGGATGGGCAAGTTCAAGTCAAGTCCAAGTCCTAGACTTTGACAAAACGAGTCTTGAACAAGTCCTTATGTGCTTTTCAACAAATGTAATGACATCGATCAACAGAATAATACTTAATAATCAAACTGCTCTTTATTAGTCACATTAATAATTTAATAATCCATTTTCTCTCTGCTGGTAAAGTAACGTGTTTTTCTTCTATTGTAAGAGGGATCAGTAAGGTAAGGCTCACGTGACGGTTTGATTCAGAAGGAGTTTAATGTATAAGATCCCTGATGTTAAGGTGACCAGAATGTTTATTTCCACTGTGTACAACATGTTATAAGGGACCCACAATCTATCTTTATGCAAGGGATAATGTGCAGCGAGGCGGTCTTTATGGGGAAAAGAACACCTGAATCTGGATCCCTCTGCAGGTGGTACTTTAACTATATTTTGATGATAATACTTTTGTACTTTTACTTGTAACATTTTGAATGCAGGACTTTTTATTGTAACAGAGTATTCCTACACTGGTACTGTTACTCAAGTACAAGATCTGAACTTCTCCCACCTCTGACAATAAATCCTGAGTGGTTACCAAAAAAAAAACCCTGCTCTGAAGGTTATTTTCATTTTACAAATCCTGCACTCAGCTTTGCTTTCTCCAATATCATTGACATGCAGCCAGATGCTGCTTCTTTTTTCGGTTTTCGCTCATTTCATGACTTTCTCTGACGCGCTTGCATTTAAATCCGTCTCCCCGTCTCCAGGCCAGCTCTGTGTAGCTGGCCTGTACCACTACACCTGCTGTCTTTGGAGCGTCTGCCCCCCACCCTTCTTTCACATAATGGTACGATCCTAGTGTGTCCTCGCATATGATTGGCCGCATGGTGGCCCAGCTAAATAAAGACCCGCCCCTGCCTGCATGGATTCACAGCAAGAGTATGAGCGGCTGAAGATTCTGCTCTCCCCGACGGGAGTCTGCTCTTCTAGCGGCATCTCGCGATCGGCGTGTTGGAGACCCCTGAATTAAAGTATCAAGTCACCTCAAGTCAGAAGGCTCAAGTCCAAGTCAAGTCCCGAGGCATTGGTGTTCAAGTCCAAGTCGAGTCGCAAGTGTTTTGTGATTTTGTCAAGTCGAGTCCAAAGTCATCAAATTGATGACTCGAGTCTGACTCGAGTCCAAGTCATGTGACTCGAGTCCACACCTCTGCCTACGACGCTGGTTATCAAGTGCCATGTCCTATCTAGTTAGGTGTGCGTTCACATGAAAGGGGTGGTATTAGGCAGAGGTGGGAGTAAGTCCTACATGTGCAAGTCATGAGCAAGTCTCAAGTCTTGACCTACAAGTATCAAGCAAGTCCCAAGTCACTGTGGTGAGAGTCAAGCAAGTCAAGTCAAGTCATTGCTCAGGTCAAGTCAAGTCAAGTCAAGTCATA